ACAACTTAAACATTAATACGAGGGTCAAACTGAAAGTTCTTAGAAAATCAAAAACTGATTACATTAGCCAGTTATAAGTTTTATTATATATTTTCAAAATATTGTCCATTCACGTCAATACACCGCTGCATGCGATGGAACCACTGGGAAAAGCACTTTGCCCACTCGTCCTTAGGGGTCTCTTCAATGGCATCGCGATACGCAGCCACCGCTTCTTCAGCATTCATAAACCGCTTTCCTTTAAGTTTTGGAAATAAATAAAAATCACAAGGCGCGAGGTCGGGGCTATACGGCGGGTGACCCAGTAATTCAACGTTTGATGTCGCCAAATAGTCGATCGTTCGCTTGGCGGTGTGCGACGAGGCGTTGTCGTGGTGAAGGAGGATCCTACTGCGAGGTCGTTTCTCTCGAACTTTTTCCAAGACAAGTGGCAAACAATTGGTAGTGTACCATTCTGCAGAAACTGTTTTTTGATCCTCTAACACAATTGTTGCAAAATTACCTATTCTTCCAAAGAACGAGGCCACCATTTTTTTTCCCGCACTTCGATCTCTCTTCACTTTAGTTGGCAACTCCTCGAAAGGAAACACCCACTGAGCAGATTGTCTTTTGGTTTTAGGATCATAACAGTAAATCCAGCTTTCGTCACCTGTTAGTATGTCGAACACAGCATTTGAGTCACCTCCGTTAAATCTTTCAATCATTTTACGACACCAATCCACACGATGGAGTTTTTGAGCCTCAGTCAAATTATGAGGTATCCACCGGGCGCAAAGCTTCCTGACCGCTAAATGTTCGTGGAGGATTTTGTGCACTTGACTCATACCGATGCCTAAGCTTGTCCGAATCTGTTGATAGGTCACTCTTTTGTCAGTCTCTATCATACGCCGCACAACACAGATGTTATCTTCAGTCGTCGCCGTAGAAGGCCGTCCCTCACGTAAATCATCAGTGAGATTAGTGCGACCACGTTTAAACTCATTAAACCAGTTGTAAACAGTCGCACGAGATGGGGCTTCATCGTGAAAGGCCAATCGTAGTCTATCATAACTTTCTTGTTGACTTAAATGACATCGAAAGTCATAAAAAATCATTGCACGAAAATTTTCTTGTGTTAAATTCATGATGACGTGACACAGACAATTTTCAATTTGCTGCCAAATCGTAAAACAAATGACAAATGAATGAAATATATACTCAGTAATATTGGCAAAGAGTTATATTTTCAAATTTTAGAATTATTTTTTTATTATATTGTTTATAAGTGGCCAGTTCTAAGAACTTTCAGTTTGACCCTCGTATACTACATTGAACTCATAAAGAGAAAAGATTTGATTGTTTTTTTGTTGGTATAAATACTTTTTAACGCGAAGCTACATCATACGCGGCTGGTTTTAAATATTATTAACCCAAAAGTGAGTTGAAAATTCGTTTCTATGGTCGATACTACGCCCTTCATAAACTGGACGGAGCTTTATAACTTAGCTTTCGTATTTCCGCCCCACAGTTGGGTTTAACGAAATTTTATTTATATTTAAGCCTTGAAAAGGATAAAGGAATGTTTTTAGCCTTAGTTTTAGATGTAATTAATTCTTATCGTCATACTTTAGCTAATTTAAGGAAAAACCTTAATGAACACGACTTTCCTCATAAATTAGTTTATCCATTTGTAAAAACCGCAAGAATATTCATTGAGTTTTTTTTTAATAAAATTTACTAGTTATAAATCACGTTCGATCAAAGTTTTAACACCAAAAAGGTTTTCTTTTGAAAAGAATGTTTCTTCGTGGTTCTTGTGTACATATATCCCAGGACCACGCGAGCGAAGCTGCTAGCGGAAAGCTAATATTTAATAATATAATGTATTTTCAAGCATTTAAAAAATATTAGCATTCTGCACTTCTGTATATAAACTTTAACTGCACCTTATTAAATTGTGCTATTGCTGTGTGTGCTATGGCTCCAAAAGTACTGGATCAAAAACCTGTACGACCTAGGGGGAAAGTGCTTTTTTTAATATAATTTAATGTTTCATACAAAAAATTTTGTAAATGAAAATGAAAACGTCCCGCGAACTTTACGATTCGGCAGAATGCGTGCATTACGTTGTGTGGCTAAAGAAGATAAAAAAGCATTGACGACACTGCATTGACAAATCTTTAGAATTTTCCTCTTAGGTATTACAAATTGAATTGGTATTGGAAGTGAAAATTAGAGTTTAACGAGCGGAACTAAAAACCCATTGTAATTAGGTTTCTATTCGGTTAAATAACAATGTTATTCTGATAGAAATACAGCGTTGAACGCAGTGTCAAACACAGCGCTGTCATTTAAGGTTAAATCGAATAAAACCTACTTTAACAGATAAACATTTTTTCGGTAATACTTAGTTATATTATAACGACAGAATTTTTGAGTAAGAGCAATGAAAACGTAATTATTTTCAATATTACATATTAACGTCGCGATTTAACGTTATTTATTATTATTACACTAATTGTTATTATTAGATTTATTCAATAAACTGTTTCGCCCCATTCACTTATGATAGGTTAAAGTAGAGTTCATTATCTTTTGGCGTTGTTGAACCTGTTTTATATTTATATACATCTATGGGTTCATTATTTATACCCTAAAGAAAAGAAGGTCGAATATTTATTTTAAGAAAAAGGGAAGTGACGCTTTTGGATGATTTTAAAGACGATTTCCGAGGTACCTTCTTTTTAAAATAACGACACCATATTCATTGCGGAACGGCTTGTTAAAAAGTATTTATCGTTAATCTGCCAGAGTTCGGATACTTTAAATTATAGCTTCAATATAATTTAATGATATATGTTTCGGATTGTACCTACATAACATCAAATGAATGTATATAAACATTGTTCTCTTTCCCTTTTTTAGTATTTCATATCATCTCTATACTATAATATTTACAGAGATAAACTTCAAAACAAATAAAAAAGCAATTACCTTGCTTTCATCATATACATATTGATTAAATTGAGCAAGTTAAGATCATTGACCAGAGTTTGTGAGTTGTTGTAAACTTGACCGTGACTGTAAGCATATTCGGCTTTTCAACATTAATTGTAGCCCTCAATGTCAGAGGTAAAATTGCTGAAGCGTCTACCAGTTATTTATAGTCATAAGTTCGTCAAGTTTATCGTACTAACGGGTATTATATACGTTTTTCTTATTTTATTTTGTACCTGAATCTTTTGTTCTTTCAAGCGAAAAGATAGTGAAAATTCTAAGAGATAAAATTGAGGACTCGTCAAAACAATGTTCTTGCATTAGTCAACAATAATTATTATTGAGCTCATTAACTACTATGCAGACCTTCAATTATTTCCGTCGTAAACTTTCCTTGTTTAAATGCCTAACTGATGACTTAAAAAATAATTAGTGCTTTTAATTATTGGTATTACCTGATATTTTAAGTTTTGCATTTCGAAGTGTTTGAAAAATTACTGACTTACCTAACACATAAGCATAAATTTTGTGTCATGTTCGAAACAAATTGTGAAATATGAGACATTATTACAACGTGAACTTTGCGTTCTAGGTAACGAAAATGGTGCATTTGCTCTACAACACAATAATGGCAACGACTTTTCGCAATATTGCGTTATTATCTACCAGCGAAATGTGACAACTGCTGAAATTGTAAATACCACAATGTTTTATGTTGATAACAAAACTCAATATATAATTATCTTCAGACTCTAAAAATGTATTTTACAAAGATGTTTAATTGTAAACACTATGCAAACTCCAGTCAATTATTAAAAAGGTAGTTTCGATTTCCATAACCCGGATGTTTGTACAAGTGTTTTATTCTAATGTTTAATACTCAATAAAATACGTTATAAGATAATAATTCGAGACTTATTTGTTTATCAAAACATTACTTCTAATGCATATCATCGAATACGAAAAATCCCATTTATATGATAGTTAACATATCTTAGTATAGTTGGTATGTAAATTAAAGCAGCTATAACAAGCAACTTTATGTTAATATGGTCGCGGAAATTATGTCGTTATAAAACCACCTACTTAGCATGTTAAGTTTTAATGAAAAATGAGATGGGGGGTCTGTGAAACGTGTTTCTATCCCTTACAAGGATGTGTATAAAGCAAACGTTGGTTACGTCATCAAATTCCGTCGTGAAATAATTTGGCGCGATAGCTAATAGTCGTAGGGAGTCGCGTTAATCTCATGTCAAGTCAGTGGCCAGACGCGGACAGGTGACCTTACGTCACGCGCCCACCGCTTTGCGGCGCAACACGCGCTGGGAATACTAACGTCTGCAGAACACCTTGGTGGATCCTTGGCTTCAAAACCGAGCTCCTTTCATAGTATACTGTTGCGTTCGTTGCATGTTTTCTACTATAATCACAGTTACCACTGCTGTTGCGTGCGCAGACAATGTGTAGCGACAATCGAGTCGGATGTTGTCGCTGTCAAATGTTGACAAACTGCCGTTCTGTCGTCAATTACAGCAGATTCCTAAGTATAGCAAAAAAATTAAATCCGCCGTGAATTGGCAATTTGGTGCCTACACTAATTGATCCGGATTGGTCTGTCGTCATGTGTGAACTTTGACTGCATGCTCGTCACCTATCAAGTTATCAGGACAACGTCATTCATTAGCACCTCGCGTAAAAATTGGACGATATAGAGCGAGGTCAGAGATACACGGGCCTAATCATACGCAGCCGCTGAGCATTATCTTAGCATCACGTAAATTCACATTACCTACTCTCAATATCTGATGTTTATTGTTAGTTTCAAATTAGTATTTTTTACTATATTATCATAAAATGTTAAACCAATAGTAACGCACAGTTAAATATAGTAACGATAAAGATTTAATGTATGGCTAAGTTCTGCAAATTTTTTATATCTTATTAATTAATGTTAACAAAAATAAAATTTGCAATATCATCAATAAATGTGATTTGGTAATTATTGGTTTCTATGCTAGACTTACCTGGTTAAATAAAATCAGTGTTGCACAAATGTTTTTTTTTATAAAGTCCAGGGAAAAACACATGCACTACCGAGGGAGGACAACGGTTGTCCAAGTTCCGTGGATTGAGGGCGCTAACGGAGAGTCGAGCGTGCGCGTACGCTTGCGCTCGTCGTGCTATGGGGCTGCGTACTGGCGGCGCGCGCTCCTCCGCTCCGCTTTTATTACATCGCTCTACAAATGCCTTCAACTTGACTCCATGCGTCACTGAAGTATACTCGAAATGAAGTTATAAGGTATAATAATCTGGTTTTTGCCAAATAACATGTGAAGATCTGATGTGCAAAAAGATTGGAGTCTTACTTTTATGTTTGTTTCTATAAACAAACATAAACCTTACTATTTGTTTATGGTACTGAGCAAATTCGTTTTTTAGGGGCGAGATTACTTAGTTTAGTATTAGTTATTATACTTTTTCCAAGAGCGTTTTTTGTGTTTGCTGTAATCTATTACTTCCTTTATTTTTCAGTAACTAGGCAGTAGTAAATGTTTTCTTATTAATAGACAGTACAAGTAAAGCTCTGAATTATATTAGAAAGAAAGGAAAAATATTTACTGACCCACAAAATTAAGAGAATAATAAAAAAACAAACATTATTTATCAAGAAATGGAGAAGAAAATAAATAAATAAGTGACAGTTGGGCCAATCAGGACTTTTGTAGCTACATTAAATTACATATCTTATAAATTAAAAAGGACATTGTTACTCTGTTACATATTATATTTATCACAATATTTATTGCTATAGAAAATTACTATGAGAACAATTAAATTTTAGAAGAATTTTATTTAAAAATAAAATGGTTACAGTAAATACAAGTTTTGATATATTTGTATTGAATTAATTGTATTGAAAGAATTAAAAATTATGATTACTCATTAAAAATTTTATTCAATGTGTGAGGTACACAAAGTTCGATAGTAACTTTAATAATTTTGGTTAATTAGGTTTAAGTAACAGAATCGATGACGAGAGATATTGTAAAAATCAGATAATATTATTTAGTTCAGAAATGGAAAAGTACCATGAAATGAACAAAGAGAAACGAGTTCAGGAAAAATAATACGAAGGTTAATAGCGGACATTCCATTGCTTATTAAGTGGATATTAGTAAAAAACAACCTAAAGCCTGTATCACAACAGAAAACTAGCAAAGTATACAGGATAGGTACTAACACCATAAAAATTCAATTGTAAGTTTATGGTGTACAAAGTTAAATTAAATAATTCATTTAGTGGAGACAGTTTGGATGGAGGATGCATGTAATGTTGATCAAATAGCTCAATCTACTCATTTATTTCAGGGATGCGTTCGCCTAATTCTATAGCTACGAATCTAGGCATATCTGTAAGAACCAATTTTTTTTTTATTAAATTTGTTAATGTTCTTAAAGTTATTATATTATAAAAATGTGTTTTTTAAGTTTTATTAAATGTAAATATTAAAAGAGTCGAATTAAACCAAACTTCTTGATTAAATATATTAACGATAAAAGTCGATTTATCGTTATAAATAAATATTGAAGTATACTTTGATAAAATCAATAAAAAAGTCTTATAGTTATGACTAGAGAGTTAGATGTTTGCACTAACTAGATTAAATTCCGAGACGGCGAAGGGTGTATAGAAAGTTATGATTATGTTGGATTTATTTAGTTAAACTTCTTTTTATTCGTGTATATTTTTATTTTATTTTTAGATTTTCGCCATTTATGTTCACAAACTACTATTTCGCACAATAATTAGTTTCAATACATATAAAAACGGGAATATTTAAATGACAGTCGCTTGAAATGCGATAAATATTCTATGTTATAATTAGTGATTATTACTAATAAAAATTTACACACAATTTTAAATGTGAGCTATGAAAATCTTCGTGATATTGTTCTTATAAAATTGATGCGTCTAGTTACAGTTGTTGACGCAATGTTTATTACTTTAGCTATTGGTAATGGATCCGTAAGCAAACGGTAAATCGTTTGCCCCATTTATTTAATTAAGTTGTGATAAATATTTTGGTGGGTAATTAACGTTTGTAGGTAAATAAAAACAGGTATAATGAAAAACTCATTAGGAAATCAATAAAAATGCCATTATAAAATGTGGTCCACCAATAACTTCTGATATACGTGTCCGTTTCAAATTTTGGTAAGTCCATACGAAAAAAATCTTAGTTAAACTTAGGTAAATATGCATCTCACATTGAAAATTTAAAAGAAGTCCTCGATGGACCTTCAATAAGAGCCCAGTGCCGATTGGTGGGTGTTAAAGATTACGAAAAAGTAGGGATCAACGGCAATGAGACTGGTATAGAGGATGATGGATTGTGTGAGTAAAGGTTTTTTATAAATTTTTAGTAAACTATTACGCTTATTATCAAATCGGCTATAAATATATTATCAATTTTTCCCATAAATAATTACAATAAAAGGGAAATATTGTATCTGGAAAATTTTATAAAATCACGCTGTGACATAACCTTTTATAATAATGTGTAGTTCTCATTTTAAATCACAACTTATTTGAACGTTATTGTTTGCATAAAATCAGTCAGTGATTTTGGGTCTATGTGGCCTATTAAATAAGGTGTGTCAAGGAGATCTTATTGGAGAATAGATTTAGTAATTATTGTATTCCATTTATCTCATTAATTGGTCTGTTGTTTTTTCATTTTCTTTGCTTGTATACAGTCTTATTTAATTTTATATCCAACTCTTTGACATTCATTATATCATCCATTAGTAAAACCTATTCGAAATCCGTTCTGTGGTTTTTAAGTGTATCTTATTTAGATGTCTCAGTGGGGGATTTCGTTAAATAATATATTACTTGTAGGTAAGAAATATAGGTCAATTAGTATTCTAAAAGTTAGTTATTAGTCACGACGAAAGAAATTTCTAACATAACTTTTTTGGGAGACTAAAACAAAACTTCAAACGTGAATTATCGAAAACATTATCTTACTTTAATGACGGTGTATCATGTTGCTATGGCGTGCAAATTATTATACTTTGTATTTTAGTAGGTATGGTATAATAAAAATAAATAATAACAAATAGTTGTAGCAAAAGTTAAAGAATGTTACCTACCTAATGTTGTTTGTTGTGTTGCGTAAACTTGTTCTGTAATTACTGCGATCAACGGGACCGATTAGGTTAAAAGTCATAACCAAAGCGTTAGCTAAAAGTATGTTATAATGGTAGGGATAATCTGTACAACTTCGTCAAAATATTGCTAGTACCCTGATTTCAGATTGTTGTAATTTATTGTATTTTATTAATACATAAAGGATCTTTTGACCCCGTTTTTACGAAAATTGCGTGAATGAAAGATTATAAAATTGGCTCAGTTAATTTTTTTTATGGAAAAGAATAGCAGAATATTGACAACAAATATAAAACAAATATAAATTCATATATGGCTTGGCTGTTTTATATAAGAAATAACTATTGTTTAACAGAAAAGTAATGAACAGTCAGTAAATTATGCTTATGTGACGGTAAGAAAATGGCCGAGACACATATTTAGCTTAAGATGTAGTAGAATTTGTGTATGTAGAGTTAGAAGTTTGGCATTACATTAGATCATCGCCTTAGTAGGGAGGAATATAGGTGGTTTTTAGTGGCTATGCCCTAACTCTTTGGGGACTCTCCCTTGCAGACCCGCCCCATTTTGGGGCGGGTCTGCAAGGGAGAGCTCCCATATAAACCTGGGTAACAGCGCTGACGACTCGGGGAATGTGGTAACGCATTTTTCATCGTTAAAAAAATTTGCGGGCAGTCTCGATAGAGTTTGCAATCGCAATCCTATCAAATTCGGTAGTTAACTCAGCGATCATAAATTAAGATTCTTGCAAGTCTCTACAGTTAGGTATATCGTTATTTGTTAGGCACTTACAGAGTGCACCCGTCAAATTAGCGATGTTCGTTAGTTTCCTAGTGATGGAGTTTAAGCTCTGCGATCGCTATCAATGTCGAGACCGCATGCCCTGATAACTTTTCAAATTCGAATTCATTTATTTATCTAAACTAATAATTAAGCTGAAGAGTTTGTTTGTTTGTTTGAACTCTATAATTTCACGAAATACTACAATGAACTGTTTTTTTTTTGTGTTGTTTAGTCCATTTATTGAGCCAGACTATAGGCTATATCACATTACGCTATATAGGAGTGGAGCAGCAATAAAAAATGTTGCAAAATTTAATGGATTTTCTTTTTGAGAGTTCTTCTTGTGTGCGCTGCGTAAACGGTGTAAGGTACGCACAATCATAAATTACAAAATTAATGTCCTTTGAAAATTCTCAAAGAAATTCCGCCACAGCGTCTATCTTATATCTCATCCTGAAAAAAGGAAAAAAGGTAAAGGGATGAAAATGGGAGTAGAAGTTCGTATAGACAGACCATCAAACCATAGCAACCATTGTTTACAATTTCATTTGTCATTGTACCTCATTATTTTATATGACGTCCTTTTCCAAATCCATTATTTAATGATTTAAGCAGTTTACGCAGGATTAAATAATGTTTTGGTCATTAGTTGGCGCTAATGTTCTTTTGAAACGGGATTTTGATTTTTGTTAGGTTTATATTCTTTATTTTTTTCGATTTTAATCAAATTTTCGATTTTTATTGTATCTTTCGTTTTCGATTTTGCGGTTTTACCAATAACATAATGAGGAATAGGAATAGGGTGTAAATTAATAGGGTGAAAAATAATATGTTACATTTAGCTGACGCTACTGATCACTAGATGTCGCTACTATCCTTTAAAAAACAAGATTTCGATTTTTTTATGTTTGATGTCTTTATTATTTTCCCATATTCATTGCACAAATGAAGTAGCTTTTATTTTATTTTTTTTTTACCCAAAGTCAACTAAGAACGATATATTAATAATAATAAGATAAAGCAAAACCATATTATAAGTATAAGCAGTAGTTTAAATACATAAAAAATATCAAACATTTTCCTACAATGCAAATCATACAATCATCCAGCATTAGTGTTCAATTTCAAGGAGTACTAAATTCAGAAAGTTAGTGGGTATCATAAACTGAAGTGTTTCTCCTCACAGACGCTCTGTAAACCTTGTAAGTAATCTCCGTAGGGTAGACCTACTATCCGTTCCTTTCAGCACTAGTATATAAGCAAATTTATATGACATGCCTTCACGCCTTCAGGGTAAACATGTGGCTGTGTTTTATATCATGTTTTGCAAAAATATTTTCTGCCTACGCATAAGATAATCGTGTATTTAAGACCCGTTTTACATAAAATAGCTTACATTAT